TACAAATCTACTGGACAGTCCAGACTTAGCTACAAATCTACTGGACAGTCCAAGACTTAGCTACAAATCTACTGGACAGTCCAAGACTTAGCTACAAGTCTACTGGACAGTCCAAGACTTAGCTACAAATCTACTGGACAGTCCAAGACTTAGCTACAAATCTACTGGACAGTCCAAGACTTAGCTACAAATCTACTGGACAGTCCAAGACAGCTACAAATCTACTGGACAGTTCAAGACAGCTACAAATCTACTGGACAGTCCAAGACTTAGCTACAAATCTACTGGACAGTCCAGACTTAGCTACAAATCTACTGGACAGTCCAAGACTTAGCTACAAATCTACTGGACAGTCCAAGACTTAGCTACAAATCTACTGGACAGTCCAAGACTTAGCTACAAATCTACTGGACAGTCCAAGACAGCTACAAATCTACTGGACAGTCCAAGACTTAACAACAAATCTACTGGACAGTCCAAGACTTAGCTACAAATCTACTGGACAGTCCAAGACTTAGCTACAAATCTACTGGACAGTTCAAGACTTAGCTACAAATCTACTGGACAGTCCAAGACTTAGCTACAAATCTACTGGACAGTCCAAGACTTAGCTACAAATCTACTGGACAGTCCAAGACTTAGCTACAAATCTACTGGACAGTTCAAGACAGCTACAAATCTACTGGACAGTCCAAGACTTAGCTACAAATCTACTGGACAGTCCAGACTTAGCTACAAATCTACTGGACAGTCCAGACTTAGCTACAAATCTACTGGACAGTCCAGACTTAGCTACAAATCTACTGGACAGTCCAGACTTAGCTACAAATCTACTGGACAGTCCAAGACAGCTACAAATCTACTATACAGTCCAAGACTTAGCTACAAATCTACTGGACAGTCCAAGACAGCTACAAATCTACTATACAGTCCAAGACTTAGCTACAAATCTACTGGACAGTCCAAGACAGCTACAAATCTAATGGACAGTCCAAGACAGCTACAAATCTACTGGACAGTACAAGACAGCTACAAATCTACTGGACAGTCCAAGACTTAGCTACAAATCTACTGGACAGTCCAAGACAGTTACAAATCTACTGGACTGTCCAAGACTTAGCTACAAATCTACTAGACAGTCCAGACTTAGCTACAAATCTACTGGACAGTCCAAGACTTAGCTACAAATCTACTGGACAGTCTAAGTATCGGGGGATTTAAGTACAGTTGACACACAAACAACTACACTACTACAGTACCACAGTCATGTACTACACTACTACAGTACCACAGTCACGTAATAAATCTCTTCGAATTGATATAAACTTGGGGTTTGTTTTATTACAAGAACGCAGGCCTAAATGAATTTGCTACCTCTAAATTAGATTTTACTTTCTTTTCCTGCCTCTGCGCCAAACTAAATCGTCATCTACAATTACCCATCGCAAAAACATGTTTTTCCTAAAGACACTTCACGAAATTAGCGCCAGCAAATGGAAAAATAATCAATCTCATCAAACGGGATAAAGGGAAAACGTTCAAAACAAAAGAGAGAAGAAAAATGCGTCAATACATTAAGTCTCACCACCTTGTACAATAATATCAGCCCAATTTTTCTTTCTATACGTGTCTCCTTTTAAAATACAACATTTCTTTTAAAATTTTTAACAGTTTTGTTTTCAATTCTTTGTTCCTGTGTTTTTAAAATAAACATTGTTACGAGCGCTTAAACGAAAAGTAGCCAACGAACCTAATTAGTTTCTAAACAAGTAACCGTTGTAAAATAAAGCTACCAGTGGTAGCCGTAGTTTAACCCTAGTGTAGCACTAGTGTAGCCCTAGTGTAGCCCTTGTGTAGCCCTAGTGTAGCAATAGTGTAGCCCTAGTGTAGCCCTAGTATAGCCCTTGTGTAGCCCTAGTGTAGCAATAGTGTAGCCCTAGTATAGCCTAGTGTAGCCCTAGTGTAGCCGTTGTGTAGCCCTAGTGTAGCACTAGTGTAGCCCTAGTGTATCCCCACACTAACACAGAGGCGAGCTACCAAGCACATGTTGCCAGAAAGATTGAGTAAAGAGAAAATCATCTATCTGACCACAACACTGACTTCCACTGAAAACACTTGCCTGACTTCCAATCACTGAAAACACTTGCGTTGATAAGTACTCACGCACAGATTACACGTGCAGCACTGATTACATGACAGAGCAGATTACATCCGATGCTGGCTCGAGTAGGCTACTCTCACGGCCTAGGCTAGCGAGAATGAACCAGAAAACTGGAGCAGAACTTCTTCAGGAGGTAAAAAGATAAACCATCGTCCTCGAGCCTTTTGGAGGGGGGAGAGGTGGTGAGTGCAGTGCTAGGCTAAACATAAGGCTTACAAGTTAGGGGAAGGGGGAGGGGAGGCTGAGCTAGTACCTGGATCTCAGGCCGAGATGTTATAAGATCGCTGGGAAGGGTGCGTATGGGAGGCAGGCATTTGGGCCGTTGTGTGAGATTATATGGGTAATGGCATATGGACGTTTACGTTATATGGGGGGTATAAGCATATGGACTGTTTACGTATATGGGGGGTATAAGCATATGGACTGTTTACGTATATGGGGGGTATAAGCATATGGACTGTTTACGTATATGGGGGTATAGGCATATGGGGAAACCGGCATTTGGACCGGTGTATGTGATAATATATATAGGGTAAACATTAAGGACGTTTGGGTTATATGGATTATGGGGTAGAGACTTATGTGTATGTATATGTGATGTTAAATCGAGTATATGTATACTGCATGTGTAGTAAACATACAATGTTGACTTGGATAAGATTACATAGGGGAAGAGGAAGGTGTATGGGCTGTCAAAACTCAATGTGGGTGAGTGGCATACAAGCTGTTAGAAGAATCATCATATGATTGTATGTTGGTTTTTTTTTTTTTACATATGTTTTCCTTGTGTTAGACAAATATTTCGTGGACTGCGGAAATTGTTTAGAGCATAGGGTTTTACAAGAAACGATACTAGCTATGATGGTTGAGCTAGTTGTGGTGGTAAAGTTAGCTGTGATAATAGAGCTAGATGTGATTGCAGCTGTGATTTAGCTGTAAAGGTAGAGGTAGCTGTGATGGTAGAGTTAGCTGTGATGGTAGAGCTAGCTGTGATGGTAGAGGTAGCTGTGATGGTAGAGCTAGCTGTGATGGTAGAGCTAGCTGTGATGGTAGATCTAGTTGTGATGGTAGAGGTAGCTGTGATGGTTGAGCTGGCTGTGATGGTAGATCTAGCTGTGATGGTAGAGGTAGCTGGGATGGTAGAGGTAACTGTGATGGTAGAACTAGCTGTGATGGTAGATCTAGCTGTGATGGTAGAACTAGCTGTGGTGTTAGATGTGATGGTGCAGCTAGCTGTGATCCTATTCTAACCCGATGTATTAAGCTAGATGTTGCACCCATCTTGAATTGATCTCCTATTGACCAACTATGCCTGATCTATTCTGATGTTACCACCATCTTGAATTGATCTCCTATTGACCAACTATGCCTGATCTATTCTGATGTTACCACCATCTTGAATTGATCTCCTATTGACCAACTGCGCCTGATCTATTCTGATGTTACCACCATCTTGAATTGATGTCCTATTGACCAACTACACCTGATCTATTCTGATGTTACCGCCATCTTGAATTGATCCCCTATTGACAAACTACACCTGATCTATTCTGATGTTACCACCATCTTGAATTGATCTCTTATTGACCAACTACACCTGATCTATTCTGACCTTACCGGAAGTAGCGACTCTCCCACTAGCTTTAATGCCCTCTAACTCTGCCTGAAACATGATTGTAGTTACGGCTTCAACTCGATAAAACTGTATTTACCTTGAATTTCTATTGATTTTTTTTTTTTTTTTTTGGAGTGCGCTGTTTTCTATCAATGGATTAAATTTGTTGTGCCAGTCTATAAATAAATGACGAGCCTAAAAGCGCTGCAAGCTTAAAAATCGTTTGCTGGATGTTGGGGCTAGATCTGATATCTGTGTCAGTGTTGGGGCTAGGTCTAATATCTGTGGGGCTAGGTCTGATATCTGTGTCAGTGTTGGGGCTAGCTCTGCTATCTGTGTCAGTGTTGTTTCTTCTATCTGTATCTGCTAGCTGGATGTCTGTGTCATCCCCCCCTTCCCCCCCCCCCCCCCGTTCTCTCGTATTTCAACTATCTACACGCATCATCAAGTGATCTACAATGACACACTTGTGGAATATCCTTTAACAATCTGTAATGTGGATACCGATCCTGTGTCATCTGAGACCCCCACCCCTTATTATCTGGGCCCCCACCCCCTGTCATCACCAGCTCCTCATCTAGTTGAGCTCAACTTGTCAACCTTACCCCAGCCCCCCCCCCCCTATCCACACACACACACACCACACACCACCCCCCCCCCCCCCCGCCCCCACCCCCTACCAACAACTTTGTTTTCTTTCCGCTACTCCTGCGAGCACCCCCAGATCTATTTATAAACAGTTACAGCACACGATTACGTGATATCGCAGTTTATAAGCGTGAGTAGATTACGAGAAAACACGGGCACGTGAGTCATCTTACGTTTGGCACGGCCTAGCACCAAAGTCTTTTTACACGAGAACGGAAACTCACCCCCCCCCGGCCCCCGCCCCACCCCCTACACACACGAGTACCGTACGATATCCCCCTCACCTATCGTGTTGTACTAGCATCTCGCTGGATGCCGGCCTTGACCTTGGTGTGGTTAAGAACTCAGCCATAAGATAAGGAAGAGAAGGATAAAGCAGAAGTAACGCGCGAGCTGATGTTTGGTCGTCTGCAGGGTGCCTGTACAGGCGATTGGTGTTTGGTCGTCTGCAGGGTTAACAGGCGATTGGTGTTTGGTCGTCTGCAGGGTTAACAGGCGATTGGTGTTTGGTCGTCTGCAGGGTGCCTGTAACAGGTGATTGGTGTTTGGTCGTCTGCAGGTTGCCTGTTCAGACGATTAGTGTTTGGTCGTCTGCAGGGTGCCTGTACAGGCGATTGGTGTTTGGTCGTCTGCAGGGTTAACAGGCGATTGGTGTTTGGTCGTCTGCAGGGTGCCTGTAACAGGCGACTGGTGTTTGGTCGTCTGCTGGCTGCCTGTAGCAGGTGATTGGTGTTTGGTCGTCTGCAGGGTGCCTGTACAGGCGATTGGTGTTTGGTCGTCTGCTGGCTGCCTGTAGCAGGCGATTGGTGTTTGGTCGTCTGCAGGGTTAACAGGCGATTGGTGTTTGGTCGTCTGCAGGGTGCCTGTAACAGGTGATTGGTGTTTGGTCGTCTGCAGGTTGCCTGTTCAGACGATTAGTGTTTGGTCGTCTGCAGGGTGCCTGTACAGGCGATTGGGTGTTTGGTCGTCTGCAGGGTTAACAGGCGATTGGTGTTTGGTCGTCTGCAGGGTGCCTGTAACAGGCGACTGGTGTTTGGTCGTCTGCTGGCTGCCTGTAGCAGGTGATTGGTGTTTGGTCGTCTGCAGGGTGCCTGTACAGGCGATTGGTGTTTGGTCGTCTGCTGGCTGCCTGTAGCAGGCGATTGGTGTTTGGTCGTCTGCAGGGTGCCTGTAACAGGCGATTGGTGTTTGGTCGTCTGCAGGGTGCCTGTACAGGCGATTGGTGTTTGGTCGTCTGCTGGCTGCCTGTAGCAGGCGATTGGTGTTTGGTCGTCTGCAGGGTGCCTGTAACAGGCGATTGGTGTTTGGTCGTCTGCTGGCTGCCTGTAGCAGGTGATTGGTGTTTGGTCGTCTGCAAGTTTCCTACATCAGACTTCGTATTTGATCATCTAAATGATTCCTGTAACAAGCGATTGTTTTCCTACATAAAATTCATCGATTAACTCCACAAATCGATATTGATGAATAATCGATACGGAAGCCTGTGATCCGGTGCCGTGTACGAATTGTCCTCATTCAACTTCCATACCTGCAGGACACGCGGTCAACTTTTAGACACAGGACATTCAGTCAACATTTTGACGCGAGGTTGTCGCACATCTTTATTTCATGTCTTTATGAACTTTCTGTTTTAATCTTTGAAATATTTTTTTACTTTTACCTTGGTGGTAACAATGCCAGGGCTTACGGTATGTACGAGAAGTGTTTTCGTATGCCGTGTGCCGGCTTCCGGCTTACCGGCTGAGAGAATGTGTCATGTTCAATCGAACGCGGGGAGAAAAGGCCCCAAGGTAATTTGGGCCTCTTGTCTCGGTACCGGTGTCGTACTTCGTCAGGTCATTTCCGGTACACATTACATGGGGGGGGGGGGGGGGGTGACACGCAAGTACACGCTCACCTCAACACACTGGTGTGTACTTAGAAGGGGGGGGGGGCGACACGCAAGTACACGCTCACCTCAACACACTGGTGTGTACTTAGAAGGGGGGGGGGACAAAAATATTGCCTAACAAAAGTGTACTAAATGCGTGAGCAGTAATGCTATGCTTGATTACTAATCTCTAAATAGCTTGTGGGTCGAACAGGTACAGCTAAAGATGGGACCTTTCAATTCAAAACAAAGTTAATCTTGTGCCAGCTTAAGAAACGGGGCTAGGTTGATTGAACTAGCTGTGGAGTTTGCAAATATAATATTGTTTAACTGGTTCAGTCCAGGTCGGTTAAATAATCCTTACACGATTAATTAAAAAAGTGACTCATTATGTAATCTGGTTTTCTCATTATGTAATCAAGCTCTTCTAAGTATGTAATCACGTTTTTCTCATTAGGGGTCGGCCATAAATGACGTCACATTCGTAGGGAGGAGGGGGTGTCCGTAATATTGTGACGGTGTGTGAGGAGGAGGGGGAGGGGGGGGTCACACTTTTGCATTATAAAAAAGCAAAGTTAGAAAAACGTAAAAGCAAAGTTAGAAAACGTGTTTCAGCCGTTATTTGACGCGTTTTAGAAAACTGTTTTAATAAATTGTAATAGGAATTGATTAAAATACTCTATGTTGACAGAGTTCTGACAAGATTTCGGAAAAAATATCGATGTTTTAAAAAAATTAAACTGCAATTTTGAGGGGGGGGGGGTTGTAGGCTAAGGTGTGACATCATTTTAGGGGGGTGGGGGAGATCTAGCTTTTTTGTGACGATGTTTGACGGAGGGAAGGGGGAGGTAAAAATCGTCTAAAAAAGCGTGACGTCATTTATGGATGACTTCTTATGTTATCACGTTTTTCTCATTATGTAATCATGTTCAAATGACAAATTGCAGTGACGTATATTTTAACACGTTTTTATAATAGGCGTTTTAAAAAGTGATGGGTCACTAATGACACCTGTTAAATTTATTTTTACCCAATCACGTTAACCGCGTTGAACCGCGTTGAACCACGTTAAACCATGTTTACCGTAGACTATTAGCAAATTGTTAGCCGCTGGCGAAGAAAATGCCCCTCCCAACAGCAATGTCCCCCAGCTGTAGTTACTCCAAAGTTGTGCCCCCCCCCCCCCCCAGAGACCACCATTCACCTTCAAGTCTCACATCACAGATGTCTGGCTATAAAAGACGACGTTACTTGACGTCATCAAAGCTTACAGAACCTGAGAAGTTTTAAATCACTCTGCACCACAGAGTTTCTTTCTGGCATCTCTTCATGGGGGGGGGGTGGCAGTTCCGCCACTCCGCTTTCCCTCACTGGACGAAATGAAAAACATATAACTCATATAGAAACATAGATACTTTTACCAGCGTCCCCCTCCCTGTTAAAATTTGAAATACCCCCTCCCCGTAAGTTATGAGTGCCACCCCCCCCCCCCCCCCCAGAGATAAATGTCTGAAAGCAACCCTGCTGCACCCCCCTTACACCCCCGCCCAATCTGTGGTTTCACACTTGAGCCAAATTAAAAGACCAGTTCCATTAGGGGTAACGTAACACCCCCCCTCACACACACGCACTCATGAATCCAGTAACCGTCGTTCACCCCCCCCCCCCCTCCCCCCAGCAGCTCATGCACCAACTAATTAGTCCTGACATTTCGTATTTCCCTGCTGGAGTGTGATTGGTGTGGTAATTAACTTATTACAAAAAGAGAGGTAACCCATCAATAACATTGACGCTCTCTAGTGCTGCTAGTTAACGGGGGGGGGGGGGGGGGGGGGCTAACGCCTGACGTTATAGAGGCTTATAAGATTTATTTTTATATTTTTTGTTCTAGTGCCTATATTATCATCTTGTTGTAATGTCTATATTTTTGTTATCTTGTAATGTCCATATTCTTATCACATTGTAATGTCTATATTTAAGTCTATATTCTTGTCATCTTGTAATGTCTATATTCTTGTCATCTTGTAATGTCTATATTCTTGTCATCTTGTAATGTCTATATTCTTGTCATCTTGTAATGTCTATATTCTTGTCATATTGTAATGTCTATATTCTTGTCATATTGTATTGTCTATATTCTTGTCATCTTGTAATGTCTATATTCTTGTCATCTTGTAATGTCTATATTCTTGTCATATTGTAATGTCTATATTCTTGTAATCTCTTGTGTAAAGGATAACTTTTATAATGTCGTTGTAATGACCATACAGTTGTTCTAATCGCAGCACAAAACCACGAGTTGATGTTTGGTGCCCCTGATGTTTGGTGTCCCTGATGTTTGGTGCCCCTGATGTTTGGTGCCCCTGATGTTTGGTGCCCCTGATGTTTGGTGCCCCTGATGTTTGGTGCCCCTGATGTTTGGTGTCCCTGATGTTTGGTGCCCCTGATGTTTGGTGCCCCTGATGTTTGGTGCCCCTGATGTTTGGTGCCCCTGATGTTTGGTGCCCCTGATGTTTGGTGCCCCTGATGTTTGGTGCCCCTGATGTTTGGTGCCCCTGATGTTTGGTGCCCCTGATGCCTCAACGACAACTTTAATAACAAAACTTCACTTTGTAACAAATTCTTCACATAATCCAATGTAAAATTTTAAAACTTCACTTTGTAACAAATTCTTCACATAATCCAATGTAAAATTTTAAACAAAGTCAAGAATGATATGAGCACACAACAGTACATGGTATAGTTTTCAGCTCAGGTAGTGAAACATGGCTGCTTTACAAAATACGATCTAGTAAACAATAATGCTTGTGCATGCGTTACATAAAGTTACAGCCTGTGGTTAATTAGACGGTTGATCTGGTTTTATCATAATAGTACAGAATTTGCCGCTAATATGGTAGTTAATCTAGTTTTAACATAAAGTTACAGAATTCTCCACCGATGTAATAGTAGATCCATATTTTACTTAACACTACAAAATCTGCCATTTATCAGATTGTTAATATAGTTTGAACACAATACTACAAAATTTGTCACTTATATGATAGTTGATGCGTCTTTAAGCGAGCAAACAAAACTTACTTGAACGCCGAGAAAAAAATATCCACGTGACGTCACAGTGTCCAGTGAAACCAGTTAGACAGAACGTCCAGATCCCATCAGAGAATTCCAGGCACGACGACGGCGGTGGAACAGGTTCTAGATTGGTCACTCATAAATCGGGATGGTCTGAGAGAGCTGACCCTAGAACTCATTAGAACACTGGCAGCAGACGTGAGTTCTGGGAGAGCAGACGCAGGCGGGATGCTTGAAGGTAGCACGATGTGGATCAATGACTCGCGTGGCGGGATTCAGGTTAATTTTGCTCACTCGGAACCTGAGGGTTTAATACACTTCTGGTGAGGTGTGGGGGTGGGGTGGCAGCACGGGGGGGGGGGGGAGGGGGGGTGACCTTGTTAAAACAAAAAGGTCAGGACACGCGGTTGGGCTAAACGTAAAGAGCGCTTAGATCAAACATAAAATATACACGGGGTTAGCTGATACATGGTTAGTGGTTGGAACTGGGTTAGCGTTAAGTGAGAGGTTAGGGGTTTAGCTGAACTCATTGTTGAATTAGGAATTTGATTAGGGTTAAGTAAAAGGTTAGGGGTTTAACCGAAGTAATTTTTTAAATTAGGAATTTGATTAGGGTTAAGTTAGAGGTTAGGGGTTTAGCCGAAGAAATTGTTGAATTAGGAATTTGATTAGGGTTAAGTAAAAGGTTACGGGTTTAGCCGAAGAAACTGTCGAATTAGGAATTTGATTAGGGTTAAGTAAGAGTTTAAGGGTTAAAGTATGCCAGGCAGGACGTCGGGTTGTGTTGGGATGACTTGAGGTTGACGAATATGTTTTCGGGTTAGCTTTTAACAATAAGATGTAGGATATATCAATAGGGACCTACTTAAAATAAATATTCATTTAAAAAAAACCACTAAACCTAAATATAAGGTGATAATTTGTTAGAAAATGCAGCGTTCTCAACTAGATCTACATGCTATATCTAAAGGCCTTAAAGGTGAATGAACCTCTTTTGTCTGCTGGACAGAATTTATCTGTTTTCCGTTTGCTGAACTAGACGTTTGGTCCAACACGGGTTGTCTGATGCTTGTTGTTACCATGACTCCCAATCCAACAATTTGTTTCACTTGTCACCCACAAAAACCTCGCTCTAATTAAATTGTTGCAACCTGCTGCTTCTAACAAGTTCTAGCAGTTTAAAACCGTCAAGTAGCTCAGCAGTTTAAAGTCGTTCGCTATATCCAGTCGTGAAATGATTCTTTTTTTAAACCCTTAAGAGACTGAAACGTTTTTTTTTTCCGGTTGAAGTTTTAAACATTCCCCTGTCACGTGGTTTGGTGTAAATATCTGTCAAAACACGACTAGTTAGGCTAATTACTTTCTCAATTAGTGTCTGCACTCGAAGGGTTATTCAACGTTATTATGTCAAGTTAGCTATCAACTTCCTCCACCAAACTCACTCCACCGACCTCACTCCACCAAAATCATCCACGACACTCCCCTAAATTCCATCCACCAAACTCCCTCCACCAAACTCACTCCACCAAACTCACTCCACCAAACTCACTCCACCAAACTCACTCCACCAAACTCACTCCACCAAACTCACTCCACCAAACTCACTCCACCAAACTCACTCCACCAAACTCACTCCACCAAACTCACTCCACCAAACTCACTCCACCAAACTCACTTCACCAAACTCACTCCACCAAACTCACTCCACCAAACTCACTCCACCAAACTCACTCCACCAAACTCACTCCACCAAACTCACTCCTCCAAACTCACTCCACCAAAATCATCCACCAAACTCCCTCAATAAAACTCCACCTAACTCAAACCATCAAACTTCCTCCACCAAACTCACTCCACCAAACACACTCCACCAAACACACTCCACCAAACTTCCTCCACCCAAACTCACTCCACCAAACTAATTCCACCGCCCCACTTACCTCCACTATTCTCACTCCACCGCTCCACTCACCTACGCTCCACCCTCCTCCACCCTAACCCCACCCCCACCCAGACAAACACAGAAAATGTTTCCTTCTATCCCTTAAATGCACTTTCCTACCCACCCACCCCCATCCTCCCCACCCATTCCTTATCCGCTAGCTCCCCTTTACCTATTCATCTCAATCACAAACTTTCACCCCCCCCCCTCCCATACACATACACACACCTTTCCCCAGAGATCTACCTAACTACCCTGAATGTTTTAATCAGCACAGACGAATGCACTCTAAACAACCTGATCTCTGACCTATCAAAATAGAAATGTGTCAATGTACAAAGGCCGCATTATTTCAACTTGATTTAAACGATTAAAATGTGAAAAGGGGATAACTAAATAAAATCTCACACTCAAAGCATGTAGAGCAAGTAGTGCGTATGTATGTTTGACGGGTGTTAATCCTTACTTATGGTGCAGTTGTTTTTTTTTTATTTTTAATAAGGAAATTTTATATGTGAAAACATATGAACTATAATGAACCTCACTATAAATAGATTTCCTTTTTTTTTTTGAAACTCGAACATTTTGAATAAAATCAAGGGAAGTAATACATGTAATACTAAATTCCTGTAACAAATTCAAGATTTGCCTCCCCTGATTCATTTCAATAGGTAATATTTTTAATTTTGTTAGAAAATATGTAGTTATCTACTTGTCACTTTAATTATTAAATTATGCTATTGGCAAAATATGTTCAAAATTTAATTTATTTTAGCTTTGTGGGCAATTTTTTAACCTCAGTGCTAAAATGGACAGGCCGATCCTAGAATCGATCGGGACAATTTTCTCTTGTGTTGACCTCAGCGTTTAACTTGATTATAGTTCTGTCTGGGTCGTTTAGCAAGGGCTAGGGAAATGGGGGGGGGGGGTGCTTTTAATCTAATGACGTCATTAAAGACTGACAAATTATCGACAGACGTCATCAGGCTAGACAGTAATTACGGAGACAGTCGTTATTTTAGCTGATTGTTCGACGGTCATTGGTGCGTTGTTTAACAAGGAGTACAATACTTGGTGGTTGTCCTTTAACGGTTAGATATCCCGGTCTACGGTGAGGTAAATAATTCTACCTCAACGACCATTTTCAAGACAATGGCGTCGCATTTAAAGATTGATACAACTAAAAATGTAAACAGTATCAAGTTATTTTTTTATTTTTTATTATGGGGGGGGGGGGGGGGAGGGGGTTAGTTGAGGAAACAGGACGCAGTGGCGTAGCTAGGGGAGCGCGGGTGGGGCGGCCGCCCAGGGCGCCGACCTTAGGGGGCGCCAAATTGGGTAGAAAAATATAATAATATAATATTTTGAGCTGCATTTCAATTAAAATTAAGAAAATAGAAAGCTACGTGGCTCTATAGACTGTTTTCTACATTGTTTGTGTGATACGGAAAAAATGTTAACAGTGACTAGTAGGGGGAGTCCTTTTTCGCAAAGGTGAATAAATATATAAATATGGGGGGGGGGGGCGCAAAACAGATAGTTCGCCCCGTGCCGTGCACCGAAATAGGTTGATACGCTTCTGACGGAACGTCCTGTACAAAAACTCGCCGACCTTAAATTGCAAAAATTAACTTTCAACAGCTGCGTATGCTGTGGTTAAATATTGTGGCCGTCAATTACGGTTCTCTTGAAGTTAGATACTATGGCTGTCTGTAAGTAAAATATATTTCTCTAATAATTTTTTCTTTCAGTACTCAGAACACATGGGGCCAAATATTCGTCTACATGCGGTTAACTGTTGATGTTGGCTGCAGTGTTTCTTCCAGACTTTTTTCTCCTGGGGGGGCACTTGAAATCTTCGGGGGGGGGGGGCGGTAAACTTTCTTCGGGGGGGGCGGACACTGTTAAAAGTATATATTTTCTATATAAATTATATAAATTTCATTTCGTTCGGGGGGGGGGGGGGGAGGGTAAAAAATTTTCGGGGGGGCTTCGCCCCCCCCCCCCCGAAGAGATGCCTGGAAGAAACTCTGGTTGGCTGTGGATTAAATACCATCGATTATTATGATTTATTTATGTGGTCTTTGTATGTGTGGGGGCGGCGTGGTCTGATGGTTGAGCATACGACTACTAACCTGAAAGTCACAAGTTCGTCGGGGATAGTAAAGGTGGCTAGTCAACACTATTATTTCATATGCTTGGGTAACTGAAACAGGTAAACTCTACTTCAGCTGCTTCATATCGACCGTCCGGTTCGGAAAGGTACTTCAGTTTGACACACCAGGTGTGTGTATATGTGTGTGTACTTGTGTTTGTGTGTTTGTGTGTGTGTTTGTGTGTGTGTGAGTGTGTGTTGGAGGGGGGGGGGCTACATTTCTAACCACATGCGATATACAAATAGTAGCTACAAAATACATCTACTTAAACATGAACGATAGTTACAGTTGTTTTCTAATTCAATACATCTGATACTGTCAAAATAATTACTAAAAATGTTTGCCGATAAGGAATAACAATAATTGCTGCATGGCTTAACCTAATTTTATAATTTTACCAGATGGTGCAATGCAATCAATAATCTGCTAACTCCGCTCTGCGCATAAAGATAATTGTAAAAACTTCTTGGCTCCATCAAAATCCGAACATGTAGGTAGATGAAAAATGTTTTTATCTGCGTTTCCTTCTGTTAAGTTAATGTATGGGTGGTGTGTTGCATCCTCTTCAACCCACGTCAATTTGATCTTGGTATTAATTGTTAATTTTGTTACGGATTTTATTGGTGGGTGTGTGAGGCAATGTTTTATACTATATGGTGGGTGGGTGAGGGGTCAATCTTACATCATAGCTAGATTAGTGCCGTATTTTGATATACGTCTGAAACTTGGGGGAGGGGGCAGGGTATGTTTGACGCTAAATGAAAGTTTAAAGAGGAGGATGATCAAATTTAAGCTTTCAGCGAACTTCCCACTGCATGTTGTCTCCCGTTAAAAGAACCCCGGACAACATGACGCACAACAATGCACCTGTTAAAACGACTTGCGACAAAAAGACTCCCAAAAACTGACTCCTGCAAAAATGGCCCACGACAAGATGGCTTCCGATAATTTGGTTCCCGACAAAATGGCTCATTAATAAGACAAATAAGTAGTCCAGATATGAGCTTTTGAACGGTGTCAGCTCAATGTTTACAAGAATGTAGTGTATTGAATGAGCTTATGAGTTGTATGGCGAGAGCTTCTGTGGCATGAGCTTAATAAATACATAGGCGTATCAACTCCTCTAGCACGCGGGGAGAACTATCAAGTTTGTGCACCACCCCATTTATATGTTGTTTTTCAAGTTTGTAAACACCCCCCCCCCCTTTTTTTCCTCCTCCCCCCCCCCCCCCCCCCCCACGAAATAGGAAAGGTCGGTGCTCTTTTGTTTATCTGCTACTATCCTGAATCAGTTTTTAATGTGTAGAAATCGCCAATCATTCTGTAAAGCCAGGTAACAGTTTATTTTTTAAAGTAATGCAGTTCAGAATTAAAAAACAAATATTGTTTATACCCCATTTGGCGCTCCTTTGTGATCGACGCCCAGGGGCGGCCACCCCACCCACCTTCCCTTAGCTACATCTGAATAAATAATGAGAAATTCTGCTAATTGGGGTTAATGTACGAGGTGTGGTTCAAGCAATAATGAAGTTTTGAGACTATTTAAGAATGAAATTTGCTTGTCTTGAAACTTGTATACACAAACGATAGTTATTAGTGAATTTTTTATGATGAAAACAAGCCCATAGAACACATGATAATAGTTGTAGTGCTTTCTGCTTTAGATCGATCAAATACTGACAGTGCCTTTCGCTGAGCTGAACAGCAAACCAATTAGTTTGACTCAAATGTTAATGGGGGGCGGGGCGGTCGTAAGGTTATTTGGTAAGATATTGACAAAGTTTCTGATTAACTTTTACCCCCAGATCGTTAAACACGCACTGGGGGACCTGACGTTCGCTGGCGTTGACAGTTCTAACCGTGACCTAGATTCCATTCAAAAAACGAACAGCTTAGTAAAACAGTCCGTCGCGTGGGGATCAGCTAGCGCCACGGTGTGAGCAAAGGGACTTCACTCTATTGATTCAGTAATCTTGAATTTACTATTACCAGACATGCGCTCACACAAAACACGCGCCATTTATTTAAGAACGTTGAAAAAGGTACTCAAATCGGAACCGTAATAACTTTTTTTCACCAATTTTTTATCCAGCTTTTATGTGATCAGCGACAACAACTTCTAGCATGTGCTTTAAAAAATTAATAAAGAAAATAAAACAAAAGTTAAAGAACTACGCCCGGAGCCATGTGACTGTTTAACTCCCCCCCCCCCCCCCCCCACACACACACCCCGCTGTCAGAAATCGATGCACTTCTCGCTGCACAACTCAATATTGCACAGCGTGAAAACAGATGGGGCTTGACTTTATCGGGGTCGGGGGTCGAACAGGACCCCGATGTACAGATGGGGATCCATCTTCAGACTCCAAACAAATCGAAACATTCTTCATATCCGTACTTGAGAGGAGATTGACTCGGTCGATTTCTTTCAAATGGCGGTTAATTAAAACAAAAACACCAGATGGAAGGGGATGGTTGGGACATATTGGACGGGGTAGATAAATTAGAATATATAAGCCAGATGGATTTGTCTTTCAATAGTTTTCATGAAATAACACATCTGTGTGTATTGTGTGAGCACTATAAAAACACGCTTCTATTATTTATCCACTCACGCAGTAGATCTATGTTGTTAAGTGCTTTTTTTTCAACTCAAATACAGATAGATCAAACAAACGTTTACCTAAAGACTTTATATCCCCTACCATTATACAAATGTCACCAATTTCCCGGCCATTAAATGAACGTCATTTATTCCCCAAACATTAAAACAAAGATCATTAATTCCATTAACATCAAACAAACATCATTGATTCCCAAACCATTAAAACAAACATCATTAATTCCCCAACCTTCAAACAAACATCAGTAATTTCTCATCAATTAAACAAACATCATTAATTTCCCAACCTTTGAACAAACATCATTAATTCCCCAACCATCAAACAAACATCATTTATTCCCCAACCATCAAACAAACATCATTAATTCCCCAACCATCAAACAAACATCATTTATTCCCCAACCATCAAACAAACATCATTAATTCCCCAACCTTCAAACAAACATCAGTAATTTCTCATCAATTAAACAAACATCATTAATTTCCCAACCTTTGAACAAACATCATTAATTCCCCAACCATCAAACAAACATCATTTATTCCCCAACCATCAAACAAACATCATTAATTCCCCAACCATCAAACAAACATCATTAATTCCCCAACCATCAAACAAACATCATTCATTCCCCAACCATCAAACAAACATCATTAATTCCCCAACCATCAAACAAACATCATTAATTCCCCGACCATCAAACAAACATCATTAATTCCCCAACCATCTTATATCCCCACACCAACGAGAAAATGATCTTTCCACTCTGGCTCCCAATGACGATAGAATCAGCTAATACAGTCCGCCATCTCGCTCCATCACTGACATACGCTCACTTTGAAGAAAACAGCGCAGTTAACAACAGCTCGCTTCCTCTCCTTGTCGACTTGTCTTCTTTCTTTTGTTCTTTGTTGAAGGCACTTCTACACAGTTGCAGGTTCGGCGCCTTCCAGAACATACACGTCGGTGGTACTGACTCTACAAGGCCACATGACACTGAGTTTACATCACGTGATACTGAATAAACAATATTTACATATTAGATTTCAAGAATTGCCGGTAGTTCCCGCATGACCATTTCATGAGGCGCTAACAGCGAAAGACTAGCTTAACTATAGTTATAGTTTAAATTTATAGTATATATCCAAAAATATATTTACTTTTATAATAAGCAATAAACGTACTAAAAATAAATAGCAAACTGAATTTTAGATAACAAATATAAAATATATTCTTTAACAAAAATATAATTGGATAGACGTAATTAAATATTATAGGGAACTGTAAAGTCTGTAATAAAGAGTGTCACACATTTCCCCTACTTTTGGTCCAGCTACAGCAAAAACCCGCGTAGGTTTCGTGGGTCAGACCCTTGTAATGTCCACGGGCACCCGGCTGATCTGTTACGCAACTGCTTAGCTTATATCTGCATAGTTTTCTTTATCCTACCTATATTGAGCAGACTAGCACTAGAAATCACCTCCCCTAGCACTAGTCCACACCTCCTCTAGCACTGTCCACACCTCCCCTAGCACTGTCCACACCTCCCCTAGCACTGTCCACACCTCCCCTAGAACTAGTCCACACCTCCCCTAGAACTAGTTCCCACCTCCTCTAGCACTGTCCACACCTCCCCTAGCACTAGTCCACACCACCCCTAGCATTGTCCACACCTCCCCTAGCACTGTCCACACCTCCCCTAGCACTGTCCACACCTCCCACTAGCACTGTCCACACCTCCCCTAGCACTGTCCACACCTCCCCTAGTACTGTCCACACCTTCTCTAGTACTGTCCACACCTCCCCTAGAACTAGTTCCCACCTCCCCTAGCACTGTCCACACCTCCCCCTAGCACTGTCCACACCTCCCCTAGCACTGTCCACACCTCCCCCTAGCACTGTCCACACCTCCCCCTAGCACTGTCCACACCTCCCCCTAGCAATGTCCACACCTCCCCTTAGCACTGTCCACACCTCCCCCTAGCACTGTCCACACCTCCCCTAATACTGTCCACACCTCCTCTAGCATTGTCCACACCTCCCCTAGAACTAGTTCCCACCTCCTCTAGCACTGTCCACACCTCCCCCTAGCACTGTCCACACCTCCCTTAGCACTGTTCACACCTCCCCTAGCATTGTCCACACCTCCCCTAGAACTAGTTCCCACCTCTCCTAGCACTGTCCACACCTTCTTCCAGTCTGAAATCATTAGAATAAAGAGAAGATAAGGCTGGTACACAGATTATCCATCCTTTTGTTTCCCTGTAATGGTTACGGTTGTTATATCAGCATTGCTTTTGTTCTTCTTTATAGTTTTTTTTTCTCGAGTGTCACGTTGTTTGAATAGTAGAGTGTTTAGATAATTCGCAGCAATTGCATCTTCATCTTTTTACTTACTGTACGGTTTTTGTTTCCAAATGAAAATATAACCAGCAATTTTTAAATTCTCAGTATTTTGAGAATGGGGTATGTCGCTAGACATCAGTGTTTCTTCCAGACTTTTTTCTCCGGGGGGGGGGGGGGGGCACTTGAAATTTTCGGGGGGGGGGGGGGGGCGGTAGACTTTCTTCGGAGGGGGGGGGGGCGGACACTGTTAAAAGTAGGCCTATATATTTTCTATATAAATTATATAATTTTCATTTCGTTCGGGGGGGGGGGGCGGTAAAAAAATTTCGGGGAGGCTTCGGCCCCCCCCCCCCCCCCCCCCCCCCCCCCCGAAGAGATGCCTGGAAGAAACTCTGCTAGACATGGTATAGGCCTACTGTATGACGCTAATAGAACGGGCTATAGTATTTTACATAAGGTAATGTAAAAATATCATATGTGTGTTATGTATAATGTGCAGGACCCATAGTTATCTATATCACTAGCTACCTCCCTAGATAAAGATATCACTTATCTTTTTGTAGTACGTGCATACTTACATTGTAAGTAATATACTGCATACAAATATTTGAATTCAGTGCGTAAGTTTAAGGAATAAAGGAAACTTTTGAACAGGCGGTGAGTCAATACTTAAAATGTTTAAATCAACAAAACCATGTTTAAGGCATATTCTCGACGATAAACATTTTACAATGTGTCAACATGCAACCAATCTTTCCCCTTCAAACAGCGTCTTGTGAACTTGCAGGTAGCATTTTTTTAAAGCCAAGCTTCGCCTGTAGAGAGTGAGTTGTGGATGGAATACTAGCCGAAAAAAAAAACGAACGTACACTTTCATTACATAGACCTCCGTCATTGCGGTAACTATGCGCAAAATTACTTTTTTTTTTCCTTTATCTACAATAATGAAAATATTGTCAGAAGGGTTTCAAAGAACGCTGCCGTTCCCCTCGCTCCTGCCTGCCTCGCGCTTCGCAATGGCAGCCAATCGTCAGAGAGTAGAGAGGTTTATGGTGGTAAGGAACAGCTCATTGTTGTGAAGGGGTGGCAGCCTATCGTCAGGGACCAGAGAGGTTTAGTTTATGGTGGTAGGGAACAGCTCATTGTTATGAAGGGGCTCGTCTCGCTTGTGACCCGAACTGATCAAGTTGTGGTTTAGCAATCATGGTCGTTTGGATATGTGCAGATTCTCTAACATGATTCTCCTGGCCATAGCTTGTTTGATGATCAACGCTTTTGTTTCTTCTAAAGGTGAGTTGGCTTTGAAAAAAATTCACTCGCCTGTTATCGCATCCGTATCGGTATCCCCGGGGGACTACCCTGGTAGCGAGACTAGATCTAGTAAAAGTGAAAAGGTATGGCGGTTTGTTTATAATACTAGGCCTAGAGTAGATCCCTACGTCTTGTTCGGGGTGTGCAGATGTAGACTCCTTTGTTGTTCCACAAAAATATGTACCGACACAATGTTCATTAAATGCTATTGAAAAATGACAGAATCTAGATCTAGATCTAGAATGTCATGTTACAACGTTAGCCTTTTTAGCACTCGGTGCCCCCTCAGAGATTCTAGATTTCTAGATCTAGATCTAGATCTAGATCTAGACCTTTCATTTTTCATTAAGAAACATTTGCCTGGTGTACTCTTTAGTTAAGGCCAACATTGTAGATCTGTCCTATCTAAAGTCTATAGGCCTACTGATTAATTAACTGATTATTAATTTAATAGATTAGTAAAGTAAAAACTGACTGAATGCTACTTTAATTATTCAATTGTTATACATTAATACACATTTTTTATTATACATGGCTAAAATGCTTAATGTTTGTTAGTATTAGTATGCTTATATAATAAATCTAAAAATGTAATCTATGTATGCTATACTACTATAGGCCTATATCTATATTAGCATATTATAATAATTATATAATCATGGCAGCCAATATGGCATATTCATTTTGGTCTTGTTTATAGCTGAATGAAAACATTTGAAGCAAAAAGTAGTTTTATTTAAAATTTTCAAAAAGAAAGAAAATTCAGAATCTACTTTAAATTTAGGTCTATTTCATGATTTTATAATTAGATATAATTAATTATGAAATTTTAGATTTATAAACCAGCTGCTGGCAGCAACTCTAATTGGGCCTACTTTGTAATTTGAGTTTACTAGATCTAATTATGTAATTAGTAAATTTAGTATTTTAGTCCGCCTACCAACAAAATTTAATTGTTTTGCTTAAAACTTTAAAAGCATTCATGGTATCATCTGGTTTGTCATTGAATAAATCCTACTGTCTTTGTGGTGTAAGATTACCACTAGCTTAAACTCTACTGAACTAAACCTCTGGCTGTACTGTAAATTAATGTTTGGAATGTTGATGTTGTCACACATTTTCAGTAGTACTCACTGTGTCAAATTTTTATTTTTGTTAACTATTCATTAAAAATGCTTTCTAACTTTGTTCCTCATTATGGGAAACTGAAAATTATCCATCAGTTCATGGGCTAAAACAGTTTTAATTTTTTTTTTCTGGAGCTATGCTTCTGGTTGAAATAAAAGTACATAATGTAGTATTTAAAAATTATAAGACTTAAAAACTGGATTTTACTTTTCAATTATCCTGTAAATCTGAGCTTGGGGTACTTAGATAAAAAAGATTCTCTCTTTTTTTTTTAAGAATTCCAGAGTTGCGTTAATAAAAAGTATTCTATTCTATAACGTTTAAAACAATTAAATCTGCTACCTAAATATGATGGATAATGTGCCTTGATAATAATATTGTTAGTCTGGATTGGTCTGTAGGATTCTGTTATTGTAATTTAATGGCCACCACTATCATCATCACAAAATGGCCCTTGACATGCTGAACATCCATTCACTAGCAAAGGCCATTAACAACATAAGAGCTATAGTTCTTCTGCCTAATGGGCCATCCAGTCACAATTGGTCCACAACTTTACATTTAGGAAAGATTATGTACTACACTAGCATCTAAAATGGTTCCCAACTTTACATAAGATTATATATTACACTAGCATCTAAAATGGTTCCCAACTTTACATAAGATTATATATTACATTAGCTTGTAACCACTTGATGTTAGCCAGTTCTTTGCCACAATTATAATGATTAGGCTACACTGTTTACTGATATAGCTGTGTACATAGTTAAACTTATTTTATATTAATAATGAAATATTGATATATTTTAATTTTTTAAAACTCAATCACTGATTGGATTGGATCTCATTGGTTGTTATTTCATCAAATGTAGACTGCAGCATGCACATAACAAACCAAACTCAGAAACATTCAGATCGCCAAACTGATTGTGGCGTAATATTTGATGGATTGAGATTATACAAAATGTTAATGGGTATTGGCTATAGGCTTTCAAGGATGAAAACTATTGTTATTGATATTATGATAATTTTAGTGTTGATACTAACCTCTTCAATTCTCTAGTCACCTAGGTCTAAAGTGTAGTGGTTTTGTTTTAGTTATGTCAAGTGTTGAACAACAATAACACTGTCTTATTGTTTTTCTACTAAATACTGTACAGCATACTAGTTTGTTTGTAACACCTAGTGTACAGATAGAAATAATCCATGTTATTGAGTCAATTGTTTAATGTCAGTTCACAAGCTAAAAATGAGTAGTGCATTTCAGTTTTCTATAATTCATATTTTTGTACTGTAATTAAAACATTTAAATAAATTATACTCAAATTATTATGTATGGGACAGTGTGGTCTAGCAGTAGAGAGCTAGACTGCTAATCCGAGTTCAAATCCGGGTTCAAGTTAATAGAACATCTTTGAATCCATCCAGGTAAACTAAAGGTGGCTGGGCATATATCTGACCATACTTAACTATCCCTTCATATGCAGAGGTCACACAAACATTTGAACTCTACTTCTCTTGCCCATCTATTAAACTTAATAAAACTACCATCTGTATGGTTTAATCAACCAACGACATTTATTTTTAATTCCCTCCCACTGCGGCACTAGTCCCCCTGATGGTAAACTAACTTGTACAGGTGAATGCAGGTGTGCATATTTACCTGTAGTGGTTGCTACTTTAAAATTAATTTAAATAAATTCACCTCATTAATCTAAGTGCTATTACTGTTTTTACTGATTACCATAAGGTATGTCAAACGCATGTCAGGATCTTGTTTGTTGTACACCAACTGCAGGTGTCTGGCTTATTCCAGGTGTCATAGTCCATCTTTGTGTCCAGGTGTCTAGTCTATCTTTGTGTCCAGGTATCTAGTCCATCTTTGTGTCCATGTGTCTGGTCTATCTTTGTGTCCATGTGTCTAGTCCATCTTTGTGTCCAGGTGTCTAGTCCATCTTTGTGTTCATGTGTCTAGTCCATCTTTGTGTCAAGGTGTCTAGTCTATCTTTGTGTCCAGGTATCTAGTCCATCTTTGTGTCCAGGTATCTAGTCCATCTTTGTGTCCATGTGTCTGGTCTATCTGTGTCCATGTGTCTAGTCCATCTTTGTGTTCATGTGTCTAGTCCATCTTTGTGTCCATGTGTCTAGTCCATCTTTGTGTTCATGTGTCTAGTCCAGCTTTGTGTCCAGGTGTCTAGTCCATCTTTGTGTCCAGGTATCTAGTCAATCTTTGTGTCCAGGTATCTAGTCCATCTTTGTGTCCATGTGTCTGGTCTATCTTTGTGTCCATGTGTCTAGTCCATCTTTGTGTTCATGTGTCTAGTCCATCTTTGTGTCCATGTGTCTGGTCTATCTTTGTGTCCATGTGTCTAGTCCATCTTTGTGTCCAGGTGTCTAGTCCATCTTTGTGTTCAGTCCATCTTTGTGTTCATGTGTCTGGTCTATCTTTGTGTCAAGGTGTCTAGTCTATCTTTGTGTCCAGGTATCTAGTCCATCTTTGTGTCCAGGTGTCTGGTCTATCTTTGTGTCCAGGTGTCTAGTCCATCTTTGTGTCCAGATGTCTAGTCCATCTTTATGTCCAGGTGTCTAGTCCATCTTTGTGTCCAGGTGTCTAGCCCATCTTTGTGTCCAGGTTAGGTATCTAGTCCATCTTTGTGTCCAGGTGTCTAGTCCATCTTTGTGTCCAGGTGTCTAGTCCATCTTTGTTTCCACATGCCTATTTCACATTTTTTATCAAACTACCTCTCACTCTCATCCGCTTCTATTTAGCAAAGCAATGAGCCTAATCTTTCAGTCCTGTGTGGTGTCATATTAAATCTTTTGTTTCAAACTCTGTGGTCTCATGTTTCAAGATGTCATGTGAGCAGATGTTTAAGATGCCATACATCCCTAAATGTCAGATGTCATGTAGATTCTCACAGAAATAACTTTGTGTATTTTCAGCTCCATTGTGCTGCTCATCTATAGTGAATGAAAAATGTCGACAGTCTTGTGTGCAGGTGGGTTTTAGCCTAGGTGAAACATTCATGCTCACCATCTACACGTTATACCTTAATACTTAGTGCCACACCAAACCCATGTTTGACCACACTAAACATATCATTGACCACACCAAATCTGAGTTTGACCACTCCCTGAATATATTTGACCATCCCTCCACCGTCTACACCTTACTGCAACCGATTGATGCCTTGTTGTTACTTATCAAGCCTTTGATTCAGGTGTATCAGCTTCGCTAAGAGAGATAACTCACTCTGACTAGAGTTACCCTAAGAATAAGATAACTCCTGATTTCTTTGAAGGCGACCGCCTTTAATGGAGCTTTGATTTAAGAATAATTGAAGTTTTGTCTAGGCTGCTGGCCGTGTGGTTATAAAAAAAAACGTCGGTCTTCTAAGCGCACGGCTGCTAACCTGAAAATCCCGAGTTCGGATCCTAGTATCGACTCCGTAGAACTTCCCTAAATCCACTCAGCCCTGATGTGTACCTGACAGCCCTGATGTGTACCTGACAGCACTGATGTGTACCTGACTCGTGTTCATAAAAAGGCTGCACTATTGTTTCACATACCAATGTCCCAAGAGCAGGTGAACTCTACTTCATCAGCCCTATTGACCGTTGGTCCGAAAGGTGACTTGACATTGTGTGTACCCGGCGTCCAGCAGCAGATGATAACCAAATACCTCATCACTCAGGTCGTTACCTGCGATCCTTAAATTCTCAGGTAGTGCGGGTCACACCTGAAGATAAACAGGTGCAGACTTTCTCCGTGATAAGTTTTGACGTGCATTTATCAGCCGCTCCTAACCCTCCCCACATGTGTATTGTCTCAGATTTATTGTTTTTGTATGTGAACCCCGTCTCTTTATTGTTTCTATATGTGAACCCCGTCTTTTTATTGTTTTCATCTGTGAACCCCGTCTTTTTATTGTTTTCATCTGTGAACCCCGTCTTTTTATTGTTTTCATCTGTGAACCCCGTCTTTTTATTGTTTTCATATGTGAACCCCGTCTTTTTTATTGTTTTCATATGTGAACCCCGTCTTTTTATTGTTTTCATCTGTGAACCCTATCTATATATAGTTTTCGCATATGAACCCCGTCGCCTGGCTCTACATTTCAGCCTCGGGGCGCTCTCTATATAATATATATATCCTTCCCTTTATAAACATTCAGGGCGGATTTTTTAATAGACGCCCCGACCCTGTACAAATGTATTTAGACAAGAAAGTGCCGCCTGTGGCCGGTAGCCCTACCCTGAGCACGCCACTGCCGAAAGAGTGCCTGACCTGCGTCATGCCACAGTTCCATGTCTACAAGATTGACTGCTGCCCGTGGGTGACACGGTAAACCCCGAGCCCTCGGGTCAATCTCCCAGCGTGTCCGGGACCTTGGTGAAACTAATAAATTACACCTGCTATGTCGCTCTTTTTACCTGCCTCTAGTCCTCAGGTGCTCCGTTTGACTTTTTGACGTTTCACTCACCTTTAGATTAGATTAATCCCTCGCACCTGATTAGCATATTTTAACATTATGCTCGTCGGACTTTTTCACTTACATTTTTAGTCGTCCCGATAATTTCCTCTGATGTGGTGTACCGTATCTACACACGTATCATTCCGTCATTTTTATTCAGCTTAACACTGGCGGTGATGATTTTTGAGGGGAGCAGTAAGACACACTCAAACAACTGGTAGTTCCCCCCCCCCCCCCCACAACGCCACGTGAGTCAGTCACACATCACGCCACTTAAGTCAACGCCACATAAGTCAGCCCCACACACACCCTCACACGAGTCACCCCACAACGTTTGCCGCAGGAGACAAAAGCTGCTCACCTAGACAAACCACAGCCAGTATCGCTGGGTCCCTTCACAGGTTATTACACCTGCAGACAGGTGTGTAGCGTCCAACCAAAGTCTGATAAACGATTCCCCCAGCAATCTCTGGCGGCGACCGTTCACTCTCTCGATCCAACGGTCAGATCTGTCGCCCTGAGAAGTCAGGTGTCAGCTTTCAAAAAGTCATCTGTCACTTTCGGTCCGCGTTACAAAATGTACCAGAAAATTGTGGACAGAGTTGGTAGTGTACAGAGTCTTGATGTTATCGGCGATTTGTGGAATGTACTGCACTCTAGAATATATAGGCAAAGTGAAAAGAACAGCACTAGAATATTTAGGCAATGTGTGGAAAGAACCGCACTCTAGAATATTTAAGCAATGTGTAAAATAACCGTTCTAGAATATTTAGGCAAAGTGAAAATAAACACGCTCTAGAATATTTACGCAATGTGTAAAAAAGAACCACACTAGAATATTTAGGCAATGTGTGAAAAGAACAGCACTCCTGAATACAAGGCAAGGTGTGAAAAGAACAGCACTAAAATATTTAGGCAGTGTGTGAAAAGAGCATCAATCCTGAATACTAGGCAGTGTGTGAAAAAAAGGACTTTCCGCCATTCCTGTCGTATCAGGTGTGGATATCTACCTTGGTTTCACACTTCTCAAACTATTGCATAAATTATCTAGCCATGGTAAAGTCTGACACGTTCTATTTTAGGCTAAAGGTGAAGAGTCCAAGATATTGGCAAGTCTTTATACCCGGTCATAAAATGTCAGAAAGATGAAAGGAGAAATACGCTGTGGGAAACACAACAATCAGGAGTGTCTTTATTGACAATAGTGAACATATTGGGATCTAGTAATAGTGAACATATTGGGATCTAGTAATAGTGAACATATTTGGGTCTAGTAATGGTGAACATATTTGGGTCTAGTAATAGTGAACATATTGGGATCTAGTAATATTGAACATATTTGGGTCTAGTAATAGTGAACATATTGGGATCTAGTAATAGTGTACATATCGAGCTCTAGAATCGATACTGACCAATATCTAGAATAGCATTTTGGTTTGAACTTGTACGTTGTTCACAAAAAGGTGTCTTTAAGAGTAAGGGTTGTTTCAGTCTAACGTTTGTCTTTAACGTCTAGAGTTAAAGTTGTTTCAATCTAACGTTTGTGTTTACTTATTGTATATAACGTCTAGGTTTCTAGGAGACTTATAATACAAATAAATTTAAATAATATTTTAAGTCGCCGATATTTAACGTATCGTGATTGTGTGGCCATGTGATTTAAAATCACGTGATAGTGTTTGACCATGTGATTTAAATGTGAGTGAAATGAATGTATTCCACTGCATCTATCAGCTCTTAAATTTCAGCCATCAGTTCTACAGCAGACACCGCTTGTCTTAAAGTAGACACCATCTGTCTTACTTAGACACCGTCTGTCTTCAAGCAGACAGTGTCTGTTGGTCTTAGATAAGAAACTCCGTACCGGTGTTGGCCAGGGATTATTTGTTTATAGAAAGTCTACAGTACGTAGTCAAGAGCGGATTTTATCGTTTACCGGCAAACTAGCCGGAGGGTTAGCCCGTCTGTTGTCCGTCAGAGTAACCCCATGTCTGTCCGTTAGGACTTGGCTTAACCCCGTGTATGTCCGTTAGGACTAAACTTAACCCCATGTCTGTCCGTTAGGACTTGGCTAAACCCCGTGTTTAACCGTTAGGACTTGGCTAAACCCCGTGTATGTCCGTTAGGACTAAACTTAACCCCATGTCTGTCCGTTAGGACTTGGCTAAACCCCGTGTTTAACCGTTAGGACTTGGCTAAACCCCGTGTATGTCCGTTAGGACTAAACTTAACCCCATGTCTGTCCGTTAGGACTTGGCTAAACCCCGTGTTTAACCGTTAGGACTTGGCTAAACCCCGTGTCTGTCCGTTAGGACTTGGCTAAACCCCGTGTCTGTCCGTTAGGGCTTGGCTAAACCCCGTGTATGTCCCCCGTCCATGAGCCATGCACTATGTATGTTTTATCCTCATGTTTATGACCCACCTCCTATATAAGTAATTTCACCTGATCCCCCCCCCCCCCCAACCCCAGGATTTAAGTTACTATGTGTCTTCTTCTTCCTCCTTATAATAAGACCCACTTTCCACTGCATAGCCCAACCTATGTCCTACCCTCTCTATACGAGTTATTGTTCTGAAAGACCCCTTTCCTTAAATGACCCTCTTCCTCTGTTGACCCACCCTTCCATGTACCCCTCCCCCACCTAGCCCGTCTACCCACGCCTTCCGTGTACACCAGGTATGTTAACCATCCATCATCATATCCCAGATAACGCGACAGCTTATCTTTGGCAAACAACCTTGCTGGTAGCTACTTAGGTTCATTCACACAATAGTCCATTTATTCCCTGTCCATGGGTACCCCCGTACATATCACACAGTACATTTATGACCCGCCCATGGTTACCCCTGTACATATCCCACAGTCCATTTATACCCCGTACATATCCCACAGTATATTTATTCCCTGTCCAAGGGTACCCCCGTACATATCCCACAGTCCATTTATGCCCAGCCCATGTGTACTTCCGTCCATATCTCACAGTACATTTATGCTCCCCCCCCCCCATATGTATCCCCGTCCATATCCCACATTCCATTTATGCCCCGCCCATGGGTACCCCCCGTCCATATCCCACAGTACATTTATACCCCGTACATATCCCACAGTCCATTTATGCCCCGCCCATGGGTACCCCCCGTCCATATCCCACAGTACATTTATACCCCGTACATATCCCACAGTCCATTTATGCCCCGCCCATGGGTACCCCCCGTCCATATCCCACAGTACATTTATACCCCGTACATATCCCACAGTCCATTTATGCCCCGCCCATGGGTACCCCCGTACATTTATGCCCCGCCCATGTGTACCCCCGTACATAACCCACAGTCACGACCCAACCTTAAATATCGCTATCATCTTTGTCAAGCCTGACCAACAATTAATCATACGAAGCTTGACGTATTCACTAATTTATGCATATTTTAATCAGACGATAAAAATTAGCAAACTTGTTTTTTTCAAAACTGCGGCCTTGGTTAGCTTTATGACTTGTTTCATGCTCTTAGAAGTCTATTTTTACTTGTCATTTACTTATTTCTTTCGTCTCTGATATAAGTAAAAAATATGGCTACAAATCTAGCATACACACTGTCCACGAATCTAACATTAGCCTATTCTAGTCAAACAAAATGTCCACGAATCTAACAGCCAACAAAATGTCCACGACTGTTCTAGTCGAACTAAATGTCTTAAACCCTGTACTCGCCACCTGTTTGTCTATTTGTATTAACCTGTTTGTCTATTTGTATTTACCTGTTTGTCTATTTGTATTTACCTGTTTGTCTATTTGTATTTACCTGTTTGTCTATTTCTATTTACCTGTTTGTCTATTTCTATTAACCTGTTTGTCTATTTTTATTAACCTGTTTGTCTATTTGTATTTACCTGTTTGTCTATTTGTATTTACCTGTTTGTCTATTTGTATTTACCTGTTTGTCAATTTGTATTTACCTGTTTGTCTATTTGTATTTACCTGTTTGTCTATTTGTATTTACCTGTTTGTCTATTTGTATTTACCTGTTTGTCTATTTGTATTTACCTGTTTGTCTATTTCTATTTACCTGTTTGTCTATTTCTATTAACCTGTTTGTCTATTTTTATTAACCTGTTTGTCTATTTGTATTTACCTGTTTGTCTATTTGTATTTACCTGTTTGTCTATTTGTATTTACCTGTTTGTCAATTTGTATTTACCTGTTTGTCTATTTGTATTTACCTGTTTGTCTATTTGTATTTACCTGTTTGTCTATTTGTATTTACCTGTTTGTCTATTTGTATTTACCTGTTTCCTCCCCAACTGACCAGGTACACAACCAAGACTCACCTATACCACAAATACAGATGTTGCTGACGTCAGCTGAAGAATGCACGCCAGAATTCGTGAGTACATTGTTATGGTTTAGTGGTCATATGGTGTTGTGTTGTGTGGTATGTTGTTGCGTTGTGTGTTGTTGTTGTTGTGTGGTGCTTATATGTTGATGCATTGTGTTGTGTGCTGGCTATGTTTGGTTTTGATTTTAATATCACAAATTTTAAAACAGTGATTTTCATATGTATGTATGTACGTTTTTTTTTTTGCCTGTTTTATTTTATTTTATTGTACTTTTTATACTTTTATTTGTACTGTTTATAAATATTAAGCTGTTTAATGTTTTAACCAACTTGTTTGAATGGTATTTGTATATTTTAATCTGTAAATTTTAACCTGTATGTTTTCACCTGTATGTTTTAAACTATGTTTTCACGTGTATGTTTTAACCTGTATGTTTTCACATGTATGTTTTTACCTGTATGTTTTCACCTGTATGTTTTTACCTGTAAGTTTTCACCTTTATGTTTTTACCTTTATGTTTTTACCTTTATGTTTTTACCTGTATGTTTTCACCTGTATGTTTTAAACTATGTTTTTACCTGTATGTTTTCACCTGTACAAATTGCTTCTGTTTCAGACTGACTTCTGGCAATGTATCAACGCCACACTACCAGGTATGTTCAGAGATAATTGATGCAATTGTCATGCTCTATTTTGTGATAACTTTAGCCCTTCTACTTTGTGATAACTTTAGTCATTCTACTTTGGGATAACTTTAGCCATTCTACTTTGTGATAACTTTAGCCATTCTACTTTGGGATAACTTTAGCCATTCTACTTTGGGATAACTTTAGCCATTCTACTTTGGGATAACTTTAGCCATTCTACTTTGGGATAACTTTAGCCATTCTACTTTGGGATAACTTTAGCCATTCTACTTTGGGATAACTTTAGCCATTCTACTTTGGGATAACTTTAGCCATTCTACTTTGTGATAACTTTAGCCATTCTACTTTGGGATAACTTTAGCCATTCTACTTTGGGATAACTTTAGCCATTCTATTTTGTGATAACTTTAGCCATTCTACTTTGGGATAATTTTAGCCATTCTACTTTGGGATAACTTTAGCCATTCTATTTTGTGATAACTTTAGCCATTCTACTTTGTGATAACTTTAGCCATTCTATTTTGTGATAACTTTAGCCATTCTACTTTGGGATAACTTTAGCCATTCTACTTTGTGATAACTTTAGCCATTCTATTTTGTGATAACTTTAGCCATTCTACTTTGGGATAACTTTAGCCATTCTACTTTGGGATAACTTTAGCCATTCTACTTTGTGATAACTTTAGCCATTCTATTTTGTGATAACTTTAGCCACGACTTATTCGCTCCGTCTGTTCTCGGTGATGGCTGCAGCAATTATCTTGTCTCTAATAATGTGTGTAGCTACAGCCATGGTCTCGTCTCAAAATACTGATGTAGCTGCAGCTAGTAGCTTTATTAAGTTTATTGATCTCATTTGAAATCTTCATCAATGTCTTAACAAAAATTCCCGCTGTAGACAAAAGTACAGTGACAATTTGGTCTTTGTGTCAGGTGAAGTAGAGTTCATCTAACCACGTAAAATGAGATTCGTGGACTTCTTGTTTGACCACAACAGCTTCTGAAGCGATATAGTGGACAGCTCCTTTCACCAACACGAGTCAGGTACTAACCAGATCTGGGTTGACTCAGGGACGTTCTACACACTGAAACCAAACTCCAGATCGTGCGCTTTAGCGCTCGACGTAGGCATTACGTTATCTGAACATCAATTTCATGCGTATACAAATAATACACAGGGGTAGCTGTTGAAATATTCCTCATGGAGACAAGAATCCATCGGATCAGTGAAGCGTGATATCCGTTAAATCCAATAACCACTGTATCGTTTCACCGAGTGGCGGAATAAAGCGGGATTAATCCACATACCTTTGGTTCGTTGGCTAGGGTCTTACTGGGGCTTCTGGACGCCGGGGGCTATGCTAGTTAAAGATACCTTCTTACATTTGAAACGTACCCCTTGCTACGTATCATAAGATCGGTGTTACGTTATGAAGGATCTCCTATACCAACCTTATATGAATATCGGCTGTAGTGATAGAGGCTATGCACATCATACAACTAAATTGATGTGTCAGGTTTTTTTTTTTTGGAAACTTGTGTCATGAATATTTGTGGGGCTCATTTTTAAACATTGTATTAGTATTTGCTTATATCATTTTATGTAACTTTATTTATTTATTTATTGCCCTTTCTGATGTTTTTTTTTTTTTTTTTTTTTAAACACTCCTTCAGTTATACTAGCTTTAGTTGAAGATAACACAAAGTTTGTATGATGCAATTAGTGTTTCTAATAGATTAAAGTTCGGATGACTAAGTTTTGTATTATTATTATTACTTATCACTATTCAATTAGCTTCTTGTGGTCAATGTTCCCTCTAAGCTGCGCGGTTTTTGTAAAATAAACATATCTTTTCCCCTTTAGAGGGAACATTGCTTGTGGTATACTAACAAAAGTGTAGGACATGTCCGGTGTCCAGTAGGACATGTCCTGTGTCCAGTAGGACATGTCCGGTGTCCAGTGGGACATGTCATGTGTTCAGTAGGACATGTCCTTTGTCGAGTAGGACACACACCCGTTGCCTGTTACCTCTGTGTACGAACAGTTTAATCGCTATCCCTTTATTCCCCACCGTCCACGTTTGTCTTTTAACAGAGGGCGCCCCCAGGGGGTGCAATTATTTGTGGTCGGGGATGTCGGCTGCACATCAAACGAACAATACAGCCGTCACTCAGCGGCTATTGTCGTGGTCCAGTCACAGTTTGACCACTGTTGCATCACAGGGCCAGCGGTGGATGGACTGCCCTAAATGTTGGTCGTATTGTCTGCCCACACAACCTCTGCGGTATAGTGTGCTCTCACGGACCCCTGCCATATTGTGTGACCCCCACACAGACCCCTGCCACTTTGTGTGACCCCCACACAGACCCCTGCCACTTTGTGTGACCCCCACACAGACCCCTGCCATTTTGTGTGACCCCCACCCAGACCCCTGCCATTTTGTTTGACCCCCACACAAACCCCTGCCATTTTGTGTGACCCCCACACAGACCCCTGCCATTTTGTTTGACCCCCACACAAACCCCTGCCATTTTGTGTGACCCCCACACAGACCCCTGCCATATTGTGTGAGCCCACGAAGCCCTACTTTCAAAGACACCTGTAGAATCGGACAAGAATTTCAATGACCGTTTTGTTGTCAGCTGCGTCAAAAGCAAAGGGCGGTAATCTGTTCCATGCGAGTGATTTGCCCCTTCATCTCAGAACCCTCTTCAGTTGTCGGGACTTGTGTATACAGCCGAGTGCTTGAATACCGCGCAAGAAACTCCGCCATTGAGTTCTGTCCCTCTTGAAATACCTTGAAGACAGTACGAGTGAAGGTCTCGAAATCCCGAACTAATTGTAGACTTGTGCTATCAACTCTTAGATTCGTGTCAACAATATGATACCTGCCCTGTCAATAATTGGGCGCCCCGTGATCCAGGGCTTTTATTGGCACCCTCTCCAAATATTTCTCGCCTGTATCACGTGGTGCAGTCATTTGTCCAGCCAACATGGCGGCCTGTGATTACGCTAGCTCTCCACCCCGTCCCCGCCCACTTGAGATCAGCGCCACTAAAGAAAGTGTTCTGTCTTTGTGCACTTGTGCTGGTGCATACGGTACGGTCTCTTCCGGTGCACTTTACGCGGGACACTCTGCGGTTGAAGTGCCGGGTCCCATTTTGTACACCATACAGAGTGCCTGGTCCCATTTTCTATAGTGACCGGTCCCAATATGAACACCCCATAGAAGGTGTAAGGTGTTATTTTGTACACCATTTTGTACATGGTCACAATGGTGTACATCCCCACACCTCAGCGAACTGCAGATAGTTGCGCCTCTTGGTTGATACTAAATGTTGTGGACTCAACATGCCACTGTTGTAGTACGTGATAATGTTTTATCTGGCATCCATCTTGTATAGGGGAAAAACTTGTTGCTAGTGTGCCAGTCCTTAGCCAGTCAGATGGACTCTAATCCTGACATGGTCTAGGGTCTTGTCATGAGATGGACCTTAATCCTGACATACCCTGCCATGAGATGGACCTGACATGGTCTCCTGCCATGAGATGGACCCTAATCCTGACATGGTCTCCTGCCATGAGATGGACCCTAATCCTGACATGTAGTTTGCTATCCTTCCGTTCACAGGACCCTCATAGTCTGTTATCATTGGTCCTCTCGTTATTCCCCACGACCCTCGAGAGAGGCATGACCCCCCCCCCCTCTAATCACGGCTGCCCCCATCCTCAGTAACAGACAGGCTACATCATTAGTCTTGACAAACTTGTATTTGAACAACGCGCCTGTCATGATGGGGAGCCAATGACCGTGAGTCCACCGTGTCACCTAGTGGCGCCCAGTGGCCTTGAACCTCGGTGTCATCGGCCAACTTCGTATCTTCACGGCGCCGGCCATTGATATAGTAAAAAAATTTCTCGGTAGTGCAGTATTTCTATAAGTTTTTATTTTTCTCTAAAAAGTATCATTAATGGTAGGGCTTTTGTATCTAAGTGTATATTTCAACAGCTTTGTTTTAAATTAAGTACAAGGCTGTACCCTGGTTTGATACGCTGAGTACCTGTGTTGGGGTGTGGCCTCGTTACCCCAGCCCTTACACCTGTTGACACTCATTACACCAGCCCTTACATCTGTAGGCTCTCATTACCCCAGCCATTACATCTTACACCTGACGGCTCTCATTACCCCATTCCTTACACCTGTTGGCTCTCATTACACCAGCCCTTACATCTGTTGGCTCTTATTACACCAGCCCTTACACCTGTATGCTCTCATTACCCCATTCCTTACACCTGTTGGCTCTCATTACACCAGCCCTTACACCTGTTGGCTCTCATTACACCAGCCCTTACACCTGTAGGCTCTCATTACACCAGCCCTTACACCTGTAGGCTCTCATTACACCAGCCCTTACACCTGTTGGCTCTCCTTACCCCAGCCCTTACACCTGCTGTAAGCCCAGGTACCTCCACCTCCCCCAGCCCTTACACCTGCTGTAAGCCCAGGTTCCCCCCCCCCCCTCCCCCCACGTAAATGTCCGGTGTCCATCACCCCGTCAGACGAGGACAGCCCGGCTGTACAACCAGGACATAAATCACCGCGCTAATATTCACAGCCACTGACAATCATGGCATCGCTGACATCAGGCGGCTTTGATGTCGCCGTCGCTAGGATACGGAGCTAAGCCTTGGGCGTCTGGGACGTGTTCTAGAGTGGCGTCCCATGTTTTATTTTAGACAGGCCCACAAAGTACAGGAGGCCTTTGTCAATGGAGCTTTACGTGTGTGTGTATGGATGTGTGTGTGTATATATATATATATATATATATATATATATATATATATATATATATATATATATATATATATATATATATATATATATATATGTGTGTGTGTGTGTGTATAGTGACGGGTGGGCGATATGGACCTACATATGAGGGACCTGTATGGAGAAGATGAAAACGTTTTGACACACTGACACACCAGACCGTGTGTGAACGAC